TTAGGAAATCCTATACACTAATGTTTTTAGGGCATAAACAGTAGTGTATAGGATTTCCTAAAAGCACGTTCACGAGTCTACGGAAACCGCGGCAGACCAAACCAGATGAAAATGCTCATTAATTGATGCACATTTTTGCGCATATTTGATGCAGTTTAATGACTGCATTTATGAAGTTTATTTGATGATGCATTTTTGACTATCCATTTAATGAAATGTACAGGTTGGGTTTAGCCTTGGATGAGAAACCACCACTGTATTGAAGTATGCTGCAATTTGTTAGTTTTTTGTTTGAATTATTTTCTTCTATTCTATATTATGCTGTACTAGTTCTATTTACCTCCTGTTTGACGATATAGGTAGTTCATGTTTCAGAAAGGCTTCTCTTGCTCTCATTTTCTTAATTACAAAAAAGAAACTGCTGTGTATAAAAATCATATCTACTGTAACAACAACATCTCAACTATTCACTGCAGCCTTTTTGTCCTATATGCTGTACGGTAAAGGCCAGGTTAGTAGCCAGTGTATATGACCTCATCAGTCTTTAATGAAAAACGTTAAACAGCACACAGTATGGTGCACAGTATCCTCCAGTATGCATAAATGCATACTGGAGGTTTTTTGAAAAGACCCGCCTCTCCACTTCAAAATAAAATGTACATGCACACCCCTGTACCTGCTCCAGAGAGGGAACGCCTATTTAACGTGAGCAAGAGCATGCACGAGCCAATTTCTCTTTGTGCACGCTCTGTTTAAAGGTTGCTGTTTGCATTACTGATACAAGCTCACTTTCCAAAAGAAGCTTTGCAATTTTTCCACTCAACAGCGGTTAGTGAAAATGGGGATGAGCACGTAGGTCGTAGGCCTTACGTAAACATATCACCAGAATGATTGACAATTAGGAGGATCACTTATTTTGATGATTCACCTGGACAAAGAACATCCTCCACTATACTTTTAAGTAATGAATTTATTTATTTTGTGATTCAGGTCAACTTTAAACCTGTTTCCATTTCCAGTAATTCAGCACTGAGACTGTGTCATGGTTTTGAAGAGTGAATATACTAGATGTGTTTGTTTACCTGTTGCCACAGTTGCAGAGCTTCCTCCTGGAGGTGTGGCCAGGGCAGAGTGCTGCAGCCACACCTCTTTGCAAATTCCTAATGCAGCTCTGAGTATTATATATTGAGCTGTTTGAAGACCACAGCATGCAGTCCAACTGTGCTAGTTATAAATCAAGCCTCTTTTAAAGGTCATTTTTAGCAATCTAATGTCCTGTTCTTTATGTTTTTCAGAGCAAAAGCCCTATGGAAAGACTCACCTGATATTGCAGAACACATGTGCTAACATTTCTTAGCCATATTCAGGCTCTCCATGGGATTTCCTGGACATCTCCCCTGTTTTCACGTGTCTGCACGCAGCACCTCACCTCCAAATCAGACTGCAGCCTCATTCTGAGCAACATCTGTCCTGCAGACTCGGAATGCTAAACAACCCAAATATTGATTATAATATCTTCAATAAACAAAAACTGTTTACTTTTCCTGAGTTTTGCATGAAGGTCAGAATTTCACTGCTGTTAATGCAGAGTGACTATCCCTATGTTTCTGTCATTTACAATACACACATTGTCTGTGTCTGAATGTTAACTTATTTGATTTATATTCAATAAAATTGCAACCAAAGGGGAAGTAATGTTTCTTGATTTTTGCTATATCCCTGGTGTGTGAAAGACAGACTTTCTGCAGCTTTGATGGAGAGAGATATGAGGGCGTGACTTTACTGGAATGCATTGTTGCCCAAATTTTCAAATGAAAATACATCTCTGTGACCATTTCCCGTAAGCTGTGGTGCAACATATTTTATGAATGAGAGGTCTCACACTTTTATTGTAGGTTTTTACAAGACAAAACTTAATTGGAACAAATTCTCAATTACAAAAGAATTTTGCTGAAAGGTTATCTGCTATGGTGTTTAGCTTGGAAGATAAACATACCTTTGCTCTTCGGGAGCTAAAGGTTTATACACGTTATGGTTTATGTTCAATTTATCAGAAAAAAAAGTAACTTTCTGCTGCATGTGCAGAGCATGTCGTGGTGAAAAGTTCAAGTGGACTTGCGTCATTCCACTTGAAGGAAGCCTGCATACCTGCCCCTTGAGGAATCTCCTAAATAAAGCAATGTCATGCATGTACTGCATGCCTCTTTACCCAGTCTAATGATGCTGGTCTCTGCAAAGAGCTCATCGACTGGTTTATGTTTGCTGATATTGTTTGCAAACCCCTTTTTTTGCAGCTCCTTCTGCACACATCCAACCCAAATTTGACCAATATCTGATTCAAGGGTGTAGAAATCATGCTTGACTTGCCAAGTTTGCGCAAGTCTCTCGTCTAAGCAAAAAAAAAAAAAAAAAAAACATGTTCCTCATTCTTCATCTTAGTTATACCTTCATGTGTGAGTTGTATTAAGCTGTCTCTATAACTTGTGAGTCACTGAGGAAGTGGTATGTGAATGTGTTCTGCATGAATGAAATCAGAAATTTCTAAAGGAACATTTAGTTTCACTTGGGATATGCTTCAGGATAAATGACCAGATAAATTTGGACCAGATCCCTGTGACTTAGTATTTCTGTTATTTTGTAGCCCCTATTTATGAAATGATAAAACCTTAATGTGTTGGTGTCTGTTTATATCTAAGGGTATAGTCAGTTTTTTTTTTCACATCAACAGCTGTGCACAAGAAAAAGGTGCATTTATTTAGAGATTCATTTGCATGTACTACAGTATGTAAAAATCACTAGGCTATGTGGCGCCATCTAGTGGTGGACATTTCTAAATGAAGCACGAATTGGAGACTTGTAAGTTTAATTAGTAAGATATACATAAAATAAAAAGTAATGACCCTATCTATCTATCTATCTATCTATCTATCTATCTATCTATCTATCTATCTATCTATCTATCTATCTATCTATCTATCTATCTATCTATCTTTACAGACGTTTAGGCAGTTAATCTATCACAAATTTATAGCCAAGTAAAACGAATTAGTATGTATTATAAAGGGATTTAGAAAAATAAAACCTTCTGGACTACATTGTTGTCTTCAAACTCCTGTACATCGCTGCTACAGAAAATAAAGTACATCTTAAGTTTGTGCTGCCATAAATAAGTGATATCATAATGAATTCTTGACTGGAATATTTAATCTCTATTTACACAGAACTGCATATATATTAACCTATAGAAAATTAACAAGACAAAGTTAGAAGCTTTCATCACTGACGTTATTATATTCAACACTGTCAATAATGACTGAGTCATAGAGTATTTAATATCTCTCTTGGATTCTTTCTCCAGAATTTGTACTAAAATGCAGTGCTTCTTTCTGTAAATATTATCTTTTCCACTCCTTTTACCATGTTTTTTCATAACATCCACTATACATCTCTGCCTTTGTAATTTAAATGCACTGTGTAAGACACTCTTAGCTGACCAAATTTAAGTTAGTGTTCTACTTTTAGAACAAGCCAGAAGACATTCCGTTTCATTTTCTGAATTGCTTGCTGGCGCAGACAGCCTGTTTTGAAAACTAAATTCAAGAAATGTTGAATGACGCAGGAATCTCACACCAATAATAGGCTATTTATTGGTCTGGATTGACACATTAATATGATGTTGGAGGTTGAAAATCATGCAGTTATTTTTTGAGAATGTTTTGATAAAAAAAGAAATATGAAAAAACACTCAAGCAAAAGGAAAACAAAAGGGAAGGACGAATGGAAGAAAAAAAGTCCACCCTTAACCCATCTGAGTCAGCAGCATTGACATGATATAGCCACACATAACTGAAACACTCAGCAAATGCTGGCCTTGAGATGGAAGGTGGAGGTGTGAATTACAGAGAAATCCAGAAATCAAGAGGTGGACTGGGGCTGTAGAGAGATGATGGAGTGGGTCAGGAGATATTATCATAGTTACAACCCCACCTGGGATCTGGTTGCCATGGAGTGTGTAGGAGGGGGGTTGGGAAATGAGAGGATGCCAAAACATAAGTGGGGGCTGGAGGCAATTGTGATGTAGTATTTTGTGCAGAGGATCCCCCTCAAAAATCCTATCATGGGATCCATCTGTTTTAATCAGCATTTAACATAAGATTTTAAAATTTGTTTAAGTTTTAATCTTGGATCAGGAATATTTGAGTCAGTCAAAAAGAAAATTATTATTAGGATTACTAATAAGACACATATAGATACTTGTGTTTTACTCTGAAGCAAAGAAACAGTGTTTGGTTTGCCTGTTTGTTTGTTTTATAAAAAAAATGTTTTCACGATTCACACATAAAGGGATTTCAGAGGGCGTAATGAGCGTTAGGCGTCTCCCTATTCTTCTTGCTTCCAACCTGAAGATGTCGCTCTGCGTCCTTCTTTTAAATCGATGCTGCGCGCGCGCGCATGTGCGCGAGTGACAGGCGAGAGTGAGACGGAGCGCCTCTGTCTGCACCCTCTCCGGTGCCGCTTCTCCGTGTCGCTGCAGTGCTTTGCTGCGCCCCTGCCTATCCGTCTTCTTTCTTTCCCCGCTTTTACTCAAAGCCTCATTTGTTCTTTCTTTTCTCACCTGCGTCCTCCGCATCCCCCCCCTCCCTTATCCTCCCTGCGGATGCCTTTATCCTTGCACCCCCACTAACCCGCACACAGCATCCCGGCAAATGGTCCTCCTTCCATCCACACGGCAACTCTGGACGCAGGGCGCAGCGAAGAGGCGCACCTTTCCTTTTTGATCTGATCTAAGCTCACTGCGGATTGACTTGGAAGAGGGGCGGATCAGAGGCAGCAGGGGAGCGAGGAGAAGATTGAAAGCGGCCAAAATCTCATTTGGGTAAGTCGTTGCTCTCATCTTCCAGTTGTATCCTGAATGAGATTAACTAGAAAGAAGCTGTCAGCTCACCAAACGCGTGTCTTTAAAGTCTGCTCTTTGGTTCTTCTATGCAGCCAGGAAATGCACTGGAAATTTGGGATTATTTGCTGGACACAGTTTAGAGACACTGTTTATGTGTGCATGGTGCTCATTGTTTTTATTCTTATCATTGTTTTTGCTGCAGCTTTGCTGTGAAGCATCTTTCAGTGAAATGCTTCCAAATGTGCTCAGATTGTCCAAGAGACAAGATTCTCATGACTGCTGACCTAAATCTACAGCTGGTTGTGGTAAAAAGTGCAACACAATGTAAACAAAAAAGATCAGCACATTTATCCTCTTCCATTTAATTCATTAAGACAATTGCACAACTGGAAATCCTCATGGCAGAAAAAGTTTTTGCTGAAATTTAAAGTATAGAGCGAAGAATCTGTACCTTTAACCAATTTGCTTGATGCTTTGATCAATAGACATCTCCAGGAGCAGAGACTGAGTTCTGGCAGTTTGTCAAGGGCACACAATATATCTTAAAGATGATGTGGGGGAGGGGGAGGGGGGGTTCAGCTGCTCTGAGGGCATGGCGTAGGTCCATGTTCAGACTGATGCTTGTCACATCCTGGGGTAGAGAGTGATTGACAGCTGATGCACAGATATGAGAGGAGCAAAATCTGTGCTGCTGAAGTGCATGCTCTGTAGGATCACCCCCCCCACCCCCTCACTTTTTTCTCTCTCCTGTTACTATAAACTTTGGGCCAAGATCTGCAGGTAAAGCAACTTTCCACCTGCAAGGTAAGCAAATGCTAGACAAGGAGACTGCAATTACATGTGACTCTCCTCAAACTGACCTCTGGTGATGGTATAAGGGGACACAGATACTCATCCTGCTTAAAAACAGCACTTTTCAAGTACTTTAATGGTTAATTTAATACTTTCCAAGCAACATATCTTCAAGAAACTTCAGATTTTTTTTATATTGTTAACAGATAAAGAGCATTGCAAAGGAGTTATCAATGTGGGAACTATCTCAACAATTCTTGTGCAACCTCTCCTTCTTCACCCGTTCTCCAAATTTCCTAAAGATTAGCTTCTTTTATGTCCCGTAAATGTCTCCAGTGGGCATGAAAAGCCTCGTCCTTCATCACGGACACAGATTAGGCTAATTCACACAGCAGCGCAGGCCTAATGCCTAATCACTATGCTGCGCCGGCAGAACAGAGCAGTCTTTCTACTGTGGCTGCCAGGGAAAGGGGGAGAGAGTAAAAGAGGGGAGGAAGGCTGGCCGCCAGTGCCTATTGATCGGACGGAGGGGATACTGTCAGGCGACCACGGGATGGAGTGCTGACGACAGTCCAACGAGCCACAGTGATGAGCTGGCCAGGCAGTTGCTTTTACACACTGAATAATGCTGATGTTGGTGAAAGAGTTTGAATCATAGTCGTCCTCCAGAACAGGGTCAGAGAGGATTTAGAAGATGCTGCTTCTGTCGTGAACATGGAAATATTTAATCATCAGAGAAGTCAAAGTGAAGTTTGGTGTATCGCACTGATAATGGCCAAGCTTTTTTTATGCTTAAACTAGATTCAAGTCTTCAAGGCTAACTATTTGTCGTAGTCAGTGCACATAGAGATATTCATTATTTTAGCCTTGGTTTTTGCCCTGAAGGATTAGAAAACAGCAACTTTATTTTATTTTTTTTTTTATAATTGAATCATTCTACATAGGGCTTCCTAACTTTCCAGATACCATTCAGATTATTTAAATATGTCTAACTAATAACATTTCACTAAATCCATAACTTCTGTTATTTACTGAGGCCTAGCCTTTAACCAGAAATCAAAGAAGCTGTGTTGCTGTTTTAATTTGTGTCACCATCACAGATGCAAGAAAGCTTCACTTTAGCATAATTTGATTTGGGAATAATCAGGAAATAATTAACTTAAATTAATTATAAATGATCAGATCCATTTAAATGAATCAGAAAATAAAGCCAGATGATTTCATTGCGTCAAAATTTCTGTATAATTTTTAAAATACGAGCATAAACCAGATACATCTTACAGAATACTGAATGGTTAACATTTTGGTGCTAATAAACTTGAATCTGTTTTTTTACTTTCATCTTTCTTTCAATGAATCTCTTTGTGCAATGTTTTCGAGCCTCAGGCAGTTATCTGACAGTTAATCGACACCTTGGACTTTATTGATTGCAGATTTGTGGCACTATGCTGGATGCTAACTAGCAGCCACAAAGTGATCTTTAATCATACTAGCTGATACAAAGTTTAGTGATGGGTGTCTAAAGAGCTTGATTAGTAGTCACAGAAACACGAAGTATTGAAATGTTACATTCATACATTTACACCAATGTACATTCAGTATTACATTAGCAAATTATGTTTTTTTTCAGTCTGATCAGGTATTTATGTATTTCAATCAAATTTGTCCATATGGGTCACTGGAAACACAACTTAATCACATTTCATTCAGTATTAATGCACAGATTGTGGGTTTAATCGTTAAACGCACATTGAGATAAGGGTGGTGATATTTAAAGACAAATACCAATGACATTTGTAGTTTTTTTTCCCAGATGTTTAAATATACCTATCATGTCTCTTATTTTCAGCTTTAAACTATGCATTTATTCTATAAAGAATAAAAGAACCTGACTCAATGAGTTTGAGGCTATGGTAGATTTACTCTTGTTTAATCAAGGCTGAAATTGTACATGAAGTTTCAAATAGAGATAATTCACACATTTTGTGCTCCTAGAATCAGAATCGTATGATTAATGACATGATTAAAAATGAATGTCAGTCTGTAGAAATCGTGACATCATGTTGTTGTGTGTGTACAGTGTCAGCCAGTAAAATAATTCAGCTTTCTAACATAATCCAAAAGTATTTAGTAGGGTCAGGTTAGGACCATTTCAGAAATAATAGCATGCTTTATTTGTTTAAAATCAGTCTGGGGTTAAGATTATTGTCCTTTTGGAGCAACCCTGTTGTTTTCATCTACTGTATCAATTGTTTGGTGATGAAGACTGAGAAAATTGGAGAAAGTCTGACATCGTCATCATTCATTTTCTTTTATTTTTTTTATTTTTAACAGTGTCCTGTCTGGAAATGTGGTATGGCAAAAATAGAGCTCAACAGATTTTGCTTTCACAAGTGGAGCAGTACGGCTATCGCCATAGTGTTCCGCTTGATTAATGCATGCATCATTCATTTTCTTAATTCAATACCCCAGTGCCTTGGTATCAGAACAGAAGTTAAAAACGATGCAACCACCATGAATTGCAGTGCTCTGAGTGAGGTTTAAAAGCCTCTCCACAAACCTGCTCAGAACATTTTTCTTCTCATTGTAGGTCAAACCTTGTCTCAACTGACAAACTATGTTTTTCCAGTTGTGTATAAAGATGCTGATCGTGGAGCAGATATCTCTTTCTTTGTTCTGTAGCCTTTTTAGTTTATGTTGATGAAAACCTCCCTGTTGTTACAGTACCTCCCAATAGTTAATAGACTTAATCCCTGAAACAATTGCTTTTCATTTAAGATGGCATTTGAGTAAAGCAAAGTTGGACAGACATGTTTGAGCCAATGGACCAAATATCTTAAACACACCTCAAACTATTGCTGCAACTAATGATTATTTTGCTAATCAGTTAATCTGTTGATTTGTTTTTATGATTAACTGTTCATTAATTGGATAGAAAAAGGTTCCTCGAAAAATATTTTTTATGGAATTAAACCACTTAAGGGGATCTGGATAGAGCATATTGACAGAAAAAAGTGTATATCTATATCTTTTTTTTTTTTTTTACAATTTTGAAAAAATTATTGTTCCAAGTAGGTTTCTCTGTCATCGAAAGGCATTTTTTTAGTGTCATACTCCAGTATAGTAGTTAATTGATAACTAAATTAGTTTACAATATTCCAATAATTGATTAATCACTATTAATTCAAGTATTTATTTTAGGTCTAAAAAAGCTGCTTCAAAGAAAAAAGCAGGTTTAAATGTTATTTAATAACCTGTTTGAAGGCCAAGTTCATAACAGAAAAAACAAACTAATAAGTGTTAAACAGATAGAACTACTTCTACCTAGAAGAGGTTTTAAATACCCAGTCAAGATCCACCTTAAACTTGTCAAAGGTAACGGAAAATGTGGACTTGCTAAGTGTTATTAAAAGGGTTTGTCAGGATGTTTGTATTATTTTTTTTAAACCTGTGTGGGTTTGAAAAATATTTAATTCATTTAGAAATAAAGATATACATAAAGCTTTGTGATTAAGAGAGGTGAAAATCAACATAATTACAAGCTTGAAGCTTTAGTGAAGATAACTTTAGGAAAATAAAAGCAGGAACAGGTGGTTATCTGTAATGTTGAGAATCCCTCATATTTTGAAAAGATCTGTATCTCATCAATAAGACCTAAGCGCTTTGTAAATAATTCTTCTAAAATACATTTAAAATAAACAGACTAAAACTAACTTAAAAGATCTTGACAATCTCTTTATCATGCTGGTTCAACCACATTCAAAGATGTAGGGAAACCTTTACATTTTTTTCAAAGAAGAAGGGCTTTTGATGTGGCACACAAAAATACCAAATTAAAATATATGATGTAGGATTACTGTTATAAGATATAGAGGACATATGATTTGTGGGTTTATATCCAATTTGGTAACTTTAACTATATATTTTATGAAGTAATCTGACAAATATAATCCATATTCCTTTTATTTATAGCGCAATCTGTTATATATATATTTTTTTACCTTGGGAAAATCTGTTTAAACCCATTAAAATTTACTGCAGTTGGTGTGTGAGGAGCATGCAGCCTCACCTGAAAAGCACATCTTATTTTTATTTGCTAAGAGAAATGTTACTCTTTAAAAAGGTGACTCTGGTGAGGTCCCTTTAGGTTTCTTCTTCATAGCTAACATTACAAAAGAAGGAGACTT